GCACTTCATATTTACATGCCTCTCATCACGTCATCACACTGTTTGGGAGCTCTGGAGATGCTCAGACCACCTGGCTGACCAGTCAATACAGTAGTAATGGTACTCCCTACCTGAAATTGCAACTGCTCACCCCTCAGTGTAATCTCATCGATCAGTGTCAGGAAGAGTGGTTATCAGTGCTTTCTGCCTACAGGCTTATCCCCAACATGTTCGCTGTTAGATCAGCTAGTGGACAAGAGCTTCCTTTCAGCAATTGATTTCAGTCACTATTTCCTTCCTGCCTCTAACTCTTAAGTTCTTTATTCACTCCCTATGAGTGGCTCATCATGGCTCCTTCCTGTGACTTACATCTCAAACACAAGAATATTGAGGGGGACAACAGGTCAAATGTAAACAGTGACTGTTGTAAGGCAATTCTGTAGTTGCAGAAGCCCAAGGCATTAACTTACCTGTTAACACTGTGATGCTGATAATTTTTAAGATTGAGTGAACCAGAGTATTTGACTGAAGCTGATCTAGTTGAACATGCTGAACACTGTCCAGTGTCTGAACTTGTCTACATGGAAGGCCTCCAAAGTGGGAAAATTCTGATGATATATATGCCAATAAAGCCTGGAGAACACCAGTATCTCCTATATGATGAACTTAGGAAAAAAGCACAAATAAAATCAAAATCATGTTTCATGATAACTCTAAAAAGTCAAAAAACAACCAAAATATATTGGTAGTTTCAAAAATAATTTTATTTGCCTCATCATTACCAAAATATATTGGTAGTTTCAAAAATTATTTTATTTGCCTCGTCATAACATCCCAACATAAAGCACAACAAGTCTACTCTAAAGGAGTGTACTCCTTTATCAGAAGTAGGAAAGCACTGCATTTTAACTTTGGAAGAACATACAAATAATCATTCTTGACCATTAACCCCAGGATGTCTTAAATAGATAGCAATAATAGCAGAGAAATTGCCAGAAAAATGCAAGTTCATGGTAGTACTTCCAACTGTATTTTCCACAAGTCTCCTACACTAACTCACCTTAAAGTCTATGGTTAATAGTTCTTGTTGATTTTTCCTTCCTTCAACTTACTTATTCATTAGGCCACCAATGCTTCTGCAACTACAAAATAGCTCTTGTATTCTACTGTTTTGTACACCTCAATTGATCATATTTACATTTTATCCTGTATATAAAAAAAATAATACCAAGTGGAGTACCTTAAAGGGCCATTTTATGGTGATTTGGCAGAAATTCTTATGCATTCTAAACTTACATTCTTTTGGATTGAGAGCTGAGCAGTTTCCCAGGTTCAGTAACTGACTGGTACTTGTAGATTGCAGCATGATTTCTCCAAACCAAAGATTCTCATACATAGTGATATCTGCAACAAACAACAACAAAAAAAGACAAAATTATCAAGCAGGCTTATCAGTCCATATATATGGAACATACTGAAATGCAAATTTCTGGCTATAGATCCAGAAACCTTGAAACTAATTTCAGTTCTGATGTTTAATTTTGAAGCTCCTTTCTAATCAAGTGCTATTCATTTTCAGTGTCTCTCCTTGATTTTTAAATGGCCTCTTTCAATGTTTTTATTCCTTTATGAGGTTTTGCTGCTCTCATTTATGTGGCATCTATGATTAATATTCATATATATAATGGTTTTGCAGGAAAAGAAGACTTCCAGAGACTTCAGAGACTTAATGTGAACAACATCTAATACCATTTCCCAAGGAACATACATATGAAAGCAATATGACAGGGGATCAATGACACTATTAAAACTGTACAGTACTGTACATGAAAATCAACGATGGGAGCTGTATGTCTCCTTGAAACTCTTCAACTACTATTAATCAAAAATTGCATGATGGGAAAAATATTTACATGGAAAATCTGAGACAAATACCGCAGTGAAAAGGAATACTGCAATTCTAAATTGCGAACAACTAAATGGCTTTAAGGAACACCTTTAAAGGAAGGGAAAAACATGTAAGTCAATCTGTAGTTATATAGGTGCTGTTAAAGTCTCTACAGAGGAAAGCTTCACATTCTGGATGCAAAATAATCTATAAGAACATACTAACCACGCTGCTAGACAAGCCACACAGCATCTCACAGCTGCTGTGGCTAAACATTGGTTAAACAGCACAAGCAGAAGACAGACTAGCTGATCACAGCAGCAGTGGTAGCAGCACTAGGGGAAAGAGACAAGTTACTAACAGAACAGAGCAAACTGCTAAATTGGGACAACTGCAGGAGACCATGGACATGTCGAAATTACAGCAACTCCTACACAATATCCGGAATCATCATATATGCAATCTTTGAAAGGGACCTTAAGAGAGAACACTTTGAAACAAAGTTATTTTTGAATCTACCGACATTATTTACAAAGTCTGAACCAATTTTAAAATGTAATTTGAAAGCAGTTAATAGCAAGTACTATGTATGCAAAATGGCTGAGGGCATAATAAAATACTAGGTTTACCTAAAAGCACATTTGATGGATTTTGGAATAAGAGTGTAAACAGAAGCAAGAAAAAGCCCAGCTTATTTTCAATCTCTAAAATACCCAGCATGGCAAAATAAGAGCTTTTTCTTTTTTAAACTCTAACAAAGATAAATGAGCATCTTAATATAACTGTAGTTGTATTCAAACAAGAAAAATTTTATATTATGTAATATATGAAATAAAATGGCCAAATACAACTATTTTAGGGGTGTAATCTTTGGTCAAATCCAACCTTAAATTAGCTATACTATAGCTTTCACAGCACTGCACTCTTGCATTCTCTTAATTGGGGAGAATTCTGCTCTTGTTAGCAATTAAGGCCTACAAAGGATTTGTCAGAGTAACTGCTTCATGATTAGCTGACATGTTACGAAAATGGTAAACTGAAGGAAGTGCCAGTTACCCAACTTCTATATGATCTATCCAGTACTAGATTCTTCAAAGTATTTCCCCAAGACGAAAAACAATTTTCTGGTCAATCTGCTGCTCAACAGAGACATACAAGGAATTTTCTGGTCAATCTGCTGCTCAACAACAGAGACATACAAGAGCACAAAGAAATACACTGCACCTTAGCAGCTGTTTTAACACCAACTGGTTACCGAATACATCTATCTACTTATAGCATTTCTGTAAAGCTCTATATACATTGCTACACCTCAGATCAAAGACTCTACATAAATGATGACCAGCATCTACAAAATTATTACAATCTGGAATCTGAAGTAATAATGAAACATGCCTTTACATGATTAGCAGTATTTCCAAATTAATGTTTACACACAGTTCTATTAGCACGTTTTAAAATCTGAATTTTGAAGAGGCAAAAAGGTAGATCTCACCTGTGAGCAGCACAATATCCCCAGGAAACACGGTGAGTGACCAAAACGCAGCAGCACGCCACAGCACCACCTTTCTCTCAATTTTAGACTGATCAGTAACTACAATTGTTGCCACTGGAACTTTAGATGAAGATTTGGGTCTTGTCTTTATCTGTATTTCCTTAATATGACAGGGATGTACTATTGCAACCAAAACATTGTACTTTTGATCTTTACAGCAGCAATTCCTAAGTAGTGATAGAAGATGCTTTTGAATTTTCTTGAATTCTGTCTTCCTTTCTTCATCCATTTTCATTTCAGGGCTAGATAGAGAAGAATTCAGTTTAATTCTCTTCGATTTCAGTCGCCTTTTAAATGGGGAATGAGAAATATGAAGAGACTCTTCAGACTTGCAGGCTTTTTTAGAAGAGCTATTACAAGAACTGCTTACTTGGGAACAGAGTATTCCTGAGTTCAATGTTTCAATATGGATTTCATTTTTTTTAGGAATATAAAGATGTTTTTCAGATGCCGTTGTATTTTCATGAGCACTTCCTTCTCTTTTTGTAGCATCAAAATAGAAGCTTTTGCTATCGCTCTCAGAATCAAAAAGTTCAAGAGAACCTGTATACTCCTGCTGATATATATTTTCAGTCACACCATGACATGCTTTGACATCAGGATTAAGACTGAAGTGTTGCCTTTCTTCATGCTTATTCTCTGCTTCTGTTTCCAGTACTTTTATGGTTCTTTTCTGCATCTCATTTTGTGTCTTAAAGTTATCTTGTGCAAGAACAGCCATCTGACTTGAAGTCATTATACTACGAAATTCAATATCAGTTGACACTGTAAGGTTTGAACAATTATCTTGTTCTCTTTTTGGTTTTGAGTCTTGATTTGGGGGAAAAAATATACCCAGATATTGACTTAGAGGTTCACAGCAGTCACTTACATGAGCTGATGGAACATCTTGTCCCATCAATCTTAGATGAATGCTAATCTCCTTAGTGGAAGCAACCAAATCTGAAATGTCAGAGCACTTAACTTTCAGATGATTGACTTGCACTTCAGAGAGGTTAGAACAACCGTCTGATAACTTTTCACTCTGTTCATCTGACTTTTCAGGATTTTGAGGGAGGTGTTGATCTGCAGCCTGTTTTACATTTCTGCCTCTGTCTTTAGATGACTGATAATCCAAATACATTAAACTGTCAGTCTTCCTAGGAGCAGTGCCACTGGTTTCCACCGAAGTTACAGGAGATGTGTTACACCCTCTTGGTACCATTAAGCCTCTCTGTTTAGATTCCTGGGAGCAGTAAACATTTGTAGGAACTGCCGTGACTGTAGAGCATTTTCCCTGACACATTAGATGGTCAGTACTTCTGCATTTATCAGAAAAAAGACCACGTCCATCACACAAAAAGTGGAGTTCCCTCCATTTTCCAGCGTCAATCACTGAACTACTACATTCTGATACCTCGAACTGGCTCGGAATACTGGGTGCTCCAACAAAAATATGGATTTGAGGTCTTGTAGACATTTCTGACTGCTATTTACATTGATATGGCTTGTGCAATAAATGTAATGCTAACTATTAGCAAATGCCAAAGACTGTATTGGGTCTTTTCCTATGAATTTAAAAATATCTACATATCAAAGTAGTTTTTTTCTAATTACTAAAAGAATAAATACCAATTTATTCTTCAAAAACCATAAAATTAAATGCATGCAACATAAAAATGGAAATTACTCGCTGTCCCATCTTCTTTAATACAACTGTTTCATTTCTGATACTGATTCCAAACACGCAGCAGATGCAGGCTGTTCACTTAGTTCTGAAGTTTCAACCAAAGTTTCCAGGAAGCTAAACTTCCTTTATTACCAGTTTAATTATCTGAGCAGAGTTTACTGACATCATATGAAGTAAATGCATATAAAAACTAATTCTTACAGAACGACTACGACAATTTAATCCTCTTTTTAAATATTAAAATATTTAAATTTTAAATAATTAAGAAAGTAGAAACAGACTTACTTTAAATTAAAAGAGTTTCCTAAAAACATTATTTTAGATAGCCAGGCATCACTGCTGTTTAAGCACAGAAATACTGTATTAGGTACATGCTTATTTTATCAAAGACAGGTTTTAAGATGTTATCAATACATTTATAATTATTTAATAAACAATGTGCAATCACGGTGAAACCTGAGCAGTTGATTCAGAAGTAGCTTTAATTCTTATAGAATACTGTCATACTGCCCAGTAAAGGACTAGCTTTTCTCTCATATTCAAAACATATCTATCTTACAGGTCACAAAAAAATATTACTTTTAGAATTCTACTATACTGATTTTAAAGCATTTACATACAGCTACGAGTGTTCGTTAAAATGCAAGCACCTAATTATAACATCCGTGTTTTGGGAGTGGTGATAAGAAAGTGTGCTGTAATAGGAATTCTGCAGTGGTAGCATATGCAGAGCACCAGAAATGGAATCCAAAAGCTAATCCAGCTGCAACGAGAAGAAAGAGAACTTTAAAATAAATACAGCAATGACAAATATTTGCATATTTCACTTAGCACTCAAGTCGACTTCTTAACATCCCACTAGTGGTCACTAATAACTCACATTTATAGAGCTCAGTGTAACACATCACAGAACAGTTGAGGTTGGAAGGGACCTCTAAAGATCTAGTCCAATCTCCCTGCTCTAACCGGGACCCTCCTAGAGCGTGTATATAACAAACAAAAACAGTATCAACATCCCGAAAGCCTCAACTCAAATATAATAACTGGAAAAATAATACACAACCACAGAGGCTATATATGTTCTGTCATATAATACCAACAAACTACAGGACAACATAATGTTGCTATTAGTCTGCTCTTCTCATTGTAGGAGGCTATCAGGTTGGTTAAGAATGATTTCCCCTTTGTAAATCTAATTCCACAAATTCAAGCAAAATATTTGATGTCTTTATGTTGGAAAACTAAAGCTTCATGGATCATGAGGTTCAGGGAAAAAAAATCTTAAATTTAAATGAATTAAAACATGCCCAGGACCATATTTGCTTACCTGCTTTCTGTGCCCTTAGAGGAAGCTTATTAAAAATAGAGTTCTTTCTAAGCTTTCTTATCAGAAAAAATGAGGTTCAGTGCCAGCATCCAAAATTACAAGTCCATTGAATACTTCTTGATGAGTTCTTAGGATACTGGAAAGACAGTCTGGTTGCTGAAAAGATAATTAGAACATTGCATTTAAAGGTCAGTTTTAACAGAGTTGCAATACATTTCAGATTCCGTATCTACAGAAAAGCCAGTGCAGAAGATGTCTGTGTAAAGTCTTCAAAATTAAACTAAAAGACTGGCTGCTGCTTTCTTTATGCAAGCATCCTCCACTATTTCCTGTAAATGTAACGCAGGGCTTCACATGATGTACTAAAGCAAATGCCTGCACTATTTAGCTTAAACAGAAAAGAGAAAGGTTTTTAGGCAAATACACATCTTATCAGCTAAATATACCATTTTCATCCTAAACCTCCACATACTGAAGTATAAAATTCTAGAACTCAGTTATGTTTTAGGCCTCACTTTTAGCAGAAATACCCCATATAATAGTTCATATGCATCCTTCCTATAACTGGAATAGGACAACAATTTAATCAGTTAACACTTGAAGGAAAACATTACTGAAGAATCACATTCAAACTTCTTTTTTTGCAGTATTTCAATATACTCTCCATGTGATTAAAACCACGAGAACTAGCATTCTTGTTAATTCTCCGGCACCACTATCATGTTTTTAACTTATTAAAAATTGCCAATATATGAAAATAACACAAATTTAAATGCTTCCCAGTAGCACTAAACTTTCTTCTCAGAATATAAACACAAACTCTTGGCATCTAAATTAGCTGACTCCTTGGCAGACTCATGTTCCTTAAATTCTATCCAGTTTTTCTTTCTTAGCTTCAATTGGATGAATTTCATTTAGACTTGGATTTAATATCAAGAACACAGAGCAGTGAAGGATATAGACTACCAGTTATCACCTCTAATGATTTTTGTTTGCTTTAAGTAATGTTGCTTGCAACACTGAAGACTGTATAAAGATTAGAATTTGTATTGCTGATATAGGAAGTAAGTGTACATCACAGCATGAGAAGCTGAAGGGACAAATGAACAGATGAGTGAAAAATAAATAAATAATGAGAAAGTTCATGAAGATAAGGTTAGGAGCAGGAAAGGTTGCATTCCAGAGTCTCCATGCAGATCCCTCTTGGATCAGAAATACCTAAACTCCCCACTACTTTCCTTTCATTTTCCATCAAGAAATAAACTCGTTATGTGGACACATATGAAGATACTAAACAGGAAAGAGAAAATAACTACTTTCTTTTCTTGAGGATTTCACTTTATGGACCTGGTCAATCTTGTTATAAGGTCACAGTATAGTCCAAAAAAGCCAATCCCTCCTGCATCTGCAACCTTCTGGACTCCCATTAGAGCTGGAATGACACTGCCAAATATTGCTACAGAATAGTTTTCTTCAACAGAAAATATTCTTTCAGAATAACATATGTTTTTCACAACTACATTTATATATATGTATACATATATAATGAAATCTGTGACTAATACTACGCAGCACTTTGAAAACATATGGCAGACAACTACATATGTATTTATGTGTACCCCTTTCACTCGGGTAACATGGATATGACAAAAATGAAAAAATAATTTGTAGTGACTTATTTACTACATCAGTGACGAATGAATATGACAAATCTGCAGGTTACTAAACAGGAAGAACTGAACACTGGCAAGATCAACTATAGGGACAGCTGATGTCATTAAGAAACATTCTTTTCCTGAAGCAGATCAAATTTGTTTACAACAGGATCACAGTTTTGCCACATTCCAGCACAAAGAACATCTAGTAAACATGAGCTCTAAGTAACACCCAGGATTTTTAACAAGAAAATACTTTTGAAAATAAAAATAGTTGCTATATATAGCCTGATAAATTTCCAGTTATACAGTAATTTATCAGCCACGCATTTTAACCATCTTTTCTCTCGTTTCCCCATACCACCTTTACAAAGTAATTAAAATTATATGTAAATTAGATATTTTGGACTAAAATTTACCTCATATTTCATTTCTATTTCCTACTTCTTCCCAATTCAAATTTTTTGCACTTAGTATATTATATCGAAACAACTGGATCTTGATAATAATATAAATAATTTCTTCAGTTAAAAATATTATTTCCATTTTCAAAGCCTTAAAACTTGATTTTTCTTAATATCTTTATATCTTAAGAGAGTTACTGACTTATGTCTACTTCCTGATTCATCTTATAAGTCTAGAGTAACTTGCTTTGACAATTTCCAAGTGATTTATTAGATCAAAGACATCAAGCTGTAATATCAGTAATCATCAGTACTTATAATCATTAGAATCTGTAAATCAAAGTGTTTTATCATAATTTGGGTAAATTTTCCTCTATGTAAAGTTCTTTCAAGCACTCCAAAACTCTCAGACTTGGTTTAAAAAAATAAAACCTGAAAGAAGATTAACATCAACTCTTATTACAGAAAGGGTTATAGAACAGTTTTGAAAATGAACAAAAACCCATCAGTCTCATGCATAGCAACATGTCATTATCACAAAAGTAATTCATTTTATAATGTAATTAAATTATCTGTGGATAGACAGGGGGTTAACTACACCAAACATAACAGGAACTAAAGCTCATAGATACAACTGAAGCTTCAAAACACATGTCCATTATATCTGTTAATTATTATACCATTTTTTTTAATTGTGAAGGGGTTCTATTCATAACAGCCAATGAAAACCTAGCTTTTTATCTCTGAAATGGTCAGAGTCTCATTGACAGGTCAATGATCTATTGGAAAAAGTATAACTACACCAGCAAGTGCTGCACTTGCAAGGCACTGCAATTCAATATTAATATAACTACTATAACAATATTATGACAGCTTGCACCAGTTTCTCCAGCCTCAATGACTTCTCACTATAACTGTCTTCTTTAAAAAGTTATGTCAGTAACAGTTTATAAATATTTATACTAATTTGCTATATGTAGGACAAAATACTTGAAGCATTCTCTTACCGCACTTAAATACACTAGAAGCATTGCTATATGCTAACTAAATGCCATTAAATGACCTTGGAGGTATCTATTAATTACTTTGATCCCATGCTTTAATCTGTACATCCATGATTTCATAATCATATTCACTAACCATGCTAATGAGTAAAGCATTAGGCCAAGATAATTAAAGGAGGACTCCCAGCTTCAGCTGCCTATCACTCCTAAATGTTAACAGCAGCCAGACAAATCCCTGCTCTTACTAAAATCTACTCTCAAATATAGTTTCATTAAGGCTGGCAACCTATAAGGAAAACAAACTGCAGTAATTACACCTCTGGTAACACTTTAGGGTTTGAAGCTATCCTATGTAACATACATAACCAAACAAAATCACAGAAATAGACCATGATATATCAAAAG